AACAATGATTATATCGGGGTAAAACTTTGCGTGAATAATGCAATTAAAGTATGCCACCTTGCGGCCAAAAATTGTCTAAATCAAACCAAAACTGTTTAAGCCCCTAAGTACGAAATATGTGAACCCCAGTGCCTATAGTTGACCTTCTACCGAAAATATCAGTCAATCCACAAAGAAATCTCAAACGAGTATACCATTTGACTTTTCGAGAGTATAAAATGTTCGGTTACATCCGAACTTAGCCCTGCCTTACTTGTTTTTTCTAATTTTTGCATTGATGAGACCATATACTCGTACATCGATTTCGATTCGTACTCGAGCGCAACTTGCCACTGCGTATGCGGTCCAGTGTTTGTTGCGATTGTTGTCAGTGCTTGTTGTTTATATAAATATTACTGAAATAATTACGGTATAAGTGCGTGCCCGAGTACACGCTTGTGTCGGTGTATGTCAACGTGTGCGTGCGCCTGCCTAACCTTGAAATGTAGCCAAATGATCGACGATAAAATTTTTAATTTAATGAAATTGTACGCCTTCACCTCGTATCCACAAGGCACGATTTCAATTTCTGTCTGAGTGTTTTTATTTTCCTTTATCTTTTAATAAACAAACGTAATTGCGCTCGAGCAGATGTGAGTCATTAAATTGAAATTTTGAAAAATAAACTTGCAGAGAAACAAAAATGTGTTGATATGTGGCCCGTTTTTTGGCGATAGTTACATTTCTCTCCAAAAAAACCAATGTTAATAAGATTAGGTAAGAAATCAGTATTAAACTTGGAACGTTTTTGAATAGACGTCGTGAGACGTGAGAAGACGTCTAAAGAGTTTTGAAAATTAAAAAAAATTTGCTGCATGCACATTTTATCGAACACCTAATCGAGTAATGAAGAGAGTGGAGAGCGGGTTTGATATTATTCATCATATATTTTTTATAATGATAAAAACAATGCTCTCACAATTCCACAATCACTTGGTCGTCTGTAGCGTAGCTGATTTATTGGTAAACGAATTTTCTCAATAACATAAATTCGAACAAATTAAAAAAGAAACTACCCTTCAGCTTTAAATTGCCAAAATGAACCCATTACCTCCTATTTCAACTACAGCACCGATATTAAGTAACTAAATTAATAGCACAAAATCAAACTGTGTTTACCAAAATGTTGTATTCTATTGGTTTTTTTTTTGAAGCTACATATGTAAACAATTTAGTTATTCAAGCGAATCAGCAAAAACATTAAAAGTTTATTGCATAATTCGTTTCAAGTTTTTTTCGCAGTTTTCCGGCACGTTTTTGCAGAAAGTTGTGAATTTTATTTAAGTTTTTTACGCTTTTGTACTTTTTTATAGCAAAATTCAATACCAAGTTCACGTACATAAGTTCTTCATAGACGAGATAATTATATGATCTTTGAACGACGCTCATTGTTCCTGCCGTACGTTTGAAAGCGATTTTTAGAGCCAACTATAACAGCGTCCAAAGTAAAACAGAAAAAGTATACTTTATATATGCAAGAACGTATACATAATCGCCTAATGCGAGCGCATGCGCTTACTTATATACGATTCTTGGCGATAAAATGTGTATCAAGCACCAATTTATCGGTTATTTACACTGGACGGTGCTTAACTTTAACACCTGGTGATTTGCTACTAATTGCATATTTCGCATAATGTTTAGGCGAGTCCAAATTCAATTCCCGCATCCACACATACAACGATGATTTGTATGGCTTCTTGGTCTTTGCCGTTGCGCGCTAAACTTTACCACTCATAAGACGCACTCTTTTTACACGCTCATTCCGTCGTTGCCTGTGGCTTCGCAGTGAAATTACGCTCAGCTATCATTAAGCGCATAATTTGCTGGGGGCCAAGAGCATGACTCCTTGCTAATTGAACACAGATGTACATGAATGTATCATCGATTCCTCAGCTTGTGGCTGAAAAATTACTGTAATTATGCTTTGCAGCAATCAGCAGTTGCTTGAGCAATTTGTTAGCTTTTTGAACGCTTTTGCCTTTTTAACGAGTGTGTTCAATCAGTTGTTTAATTGCCAAGTGCAAGAAAGTAAAATTATAGTTTCTATCACCTAAAAAATGGCAGCGTGAAAAAGCGGCTATTTGCAGGTAAAAATAATTAGTAATCAAGCAATATAATCTTGTTCAATTAAAATATAGTCGTTTACTTTGAACAGATGTAGACATTACATTGCTAGCTTAAGAGGGAACGCATACCAAATCACTTATGGATACGTTTTTGATCCACTGTGGTGGAAAAATTCTGATTCTAAAGCTTCTTACAGAAGCATTTCGCTCTGAACATTAAAATGGTCCCGAGCAGACCCCCGATCTGCCATCTATTATTTATAATTTATTTTTCAATTTAATCAAATTTTTCAATAAAGCTCTACATACAGCATCTGTTTATTAAGACAATTGCGAAAGATTATAAAGCAAAATCATTTTTCGCGCGAGTAAATAAAGCAAAGAGTGGTAAATGTATTTTTCAGCCACCATCAACCACTTTAATATTAGTTTTGAACATCTCGAAACCGCTTGAAACATTTAATATGCCACCACTTGATTGTTGATGAAGTGATTTAAGATTCACTGCTTGAAGAAAATTTCATGTAAATATTTAGTATGTCTGTTTTTAGAAGAAGTCTATTAAGCATAAATAGGTAAACATTCTGAAAATTTTAAACGCAAAACGAAAACATGTTGTAAAGCATTATGTGTAATCTTGTTAATAATTTTTTGTAAAATGTTCTGAGATTTCTGTAGAGAATATACATATATGGCTAGAAGTAGCTTATTAAGGCCTACTTTAAAAAATTCTTATGCAGAGATGTACTAAAGAGAAGAGGTTAATAAATAATCAGCGAAACATACTAACGTGTAGGTAATTAATTATTTCTTACCGTTTTTGTGTGTTCGATGACATAGCAGACAACCATTTTGTTGAATTAATCACTTGTCGAAAACTTATTTGCCAACAGTCAATCAAATAATTACTCACTCAATGTGTGGCAAATTAAAATCTATCACTGATTTATGCGCCAGGAGCAAAACAAATTTAAAAAAAAAATTAAATAAATAAATATAAATAAATAAACTGAATTTCTTCTGGTTTTTGCAGAGGTTATGGTGTGGCACGTTTTACTGTGGTTTGTTTTACTAAAATTCTTGCAAAAAAATTAAAATTTCTTTCACACACAACTGAGCCGTTTGCCCCTGTAGTTGCAATTTCAAATTCCACTACGATCACTTCTGTTAAATTTATTGGTGCTGTTACATCTGATTCATGCATAAATAGATAAGAAATATATTTCAAACTCATCTCGAAATTTAACTTTGATTTCCAGCCAAATGAGATAAATGTTTCACTTCGCTAAGTGGCAGGTGGCAACTCTGCTCAGCTGCTATCGTAAAAAATCTACTTTGCTTAGTTTTCTGCTGCCAATTATTGTTTGATCAAAAAGATACTACATAATGTAAAAAAAATCATAATTAACATTTGTATTTACGTTGCAGAAAAGCGTGCTAAACCAAACAATGAAATATTTGGTAATAACGAAAAAAGTATATTGCAATGCGAGTTGCAACCAAAATTGTCTATGCCAATAAAATAGTCATAAAAGCTATAAAAACAAATTATCTGTTTGAAAAAAGTGTTTAATGAATAACCAATTTTTTACTGTACACATTGATCACTGATACTTGTCCATAGAAAACATTAACGATGCATTTATTCAACAAAGGCATGAATAGGTACAATAATTATCGCCACAATAATAAGAACATCACAGTGTGCATCTATAAAGCGAAACCGAGAGATTTTGATATTGAAATTCCACTCCGAACGGTCAACGACTCGGTTGCTTTCATTAAAATTTTCGTTCAACACATTTTTGAAATTCATTGTAGTATAACCATTTTTAGAATTTGAGTGCTGCTTTAAGATTTTGCTGTTTGATTTATTACTTTTTTATTTCGTTTGAAAAAATGAACACACTGAAATATGAAATACGGTACAAATAAACTTTCACAAAATCAATTTGTATTTGTATATTTTTAAAAAATTCAAAATATTCTTTTCTTCGAAAACACATTGAAATGCCCTCCATATAGAATTACATTATTTTATTTATTACAGCATAATGGCAGAGCTTTCAACTGAGTAACGGAGAAAAGTATTTGTCACATCTGAAGGCACTTAGCACTTTAATTCATCGACCGATTAGCAGACAACTTTCTCGTAACAAACCAATCAACAACCAGCCTCGTTGGCCCTAGCCCTCCGACACGACGAGATCATTCAGGAAGCACTTGCATTATAGCTCTATGCGTTTTAAGATGGTAAATACCAAACACTAAACACTCCTTGGTGAGTGCAAGAGAAAGCGTTCAGAATTATTAACGGCACTTGTTATGCCATAAAAATACTACGGGGCCACAAATTGCCACAACTTGTGCACCACTATTCACAACACGCACAAACACCAACCGTTTAACCAGCGATAAACAACACTGCAGCGGCACACAATCGTTGAAGATACGCATGCGCAGCTCGTACACTGCGAACCGAACTCATCGAGACGAGCCAACGAAGAATGTACGCGGACGGAGGAGTTGTGGGTACGCCTGCGCAACGCTGAGATTCCTCAACGACTAAAAGTGTCAGCCACAATCGATGGCGACTTAACACACACCAGTATAAATGATATAAGTATGTAAGTGCGCTTAAACAATCTGCTCAAGTGATTGGTGGTGGACTGTTGGCTGGACTGGTGGATTGGCGAATGTAAACTGTCGACTGGCAACTGACAACTGACTTTAGCTGGCTGCAACAGCCACAACAGCCGCAATGCAATGACTTACACACAATGCCTTGAACACAGTTGCTGTTGTTATATTTCTTGGCCTGATATTAAATTCTTTGTTGCCTGTACGTACTCTGCATTGTTGTTGTTATTACAGTTGTTGTCATTGACACTGAAATACGAACAAAGTAATGGCACAGTGATCCAGCGGAGGAAAAAAGTGTTCGTACGAATACTCGGCAACAGAAGAAACAACAAAGAATGGCAATTTTTCCGTTGCATACGAAGACTTACAGTTGAGAAGTCGACTGCTTGAGTCTCCGGGCAGGCTGTCAGTCGCCGGTTTCCACTGAGTGCACGAGCTAACGTAGCACAAGCGGGCAACCAAACAACAAAAACCCGAACTAGAGGCGAAAGAACGAACGAATCACTTCAACTGTAAGCACAAACGAGCCAACGGCAGTGCGAACCAGTGGATCTTCCTCAACACAATTCAGTTGCTGGTAAGTAAAATAAGACACAGCTCCAAAGCAAATTGCGATGTAGAATGTGGGTTGAATACGAAAACATTTGCTGTAAATATCTAAGCGACAAGCGAAGAACCATCGGCAACTCATCCACCCGTACACAAAGAGTGAAAAATGTACCTACAAACTGCTGCTGCTTCGTGTGTTGGACCAAGGAAGGAAAAGCAGTGAGGTAGTTGTGGGATCGTTTTAGAGATGTCAAGATTAACATGAGGGCAATAGGAGCATTCTTTAGGTTATGACCTTTTTATCTTTATATAATTTATATAGTTTCCTGGAAGAATATTCGAATTGAGACCTGAGAAGAGATTATCTTGGAGAGAGGTTAAATAGGCTGTAACTCCTTCACTTCTGCTCTACGAAAAAACCTTTTTGGGGTGTATATGAGTGCACTATTTCACTGAAATATTTTCATTTCCACTTATTTTCCCACAGTAGCTTATACGATTGGAGAGTTGGGACCAAATCAATATTCTTCGGATCTGTTATTATTAGGATAATTTCAGAGGTTTGCTCTGAGTAAATGCTAATTTCGTTCGTAGCTGGATATGCACTCACCATATTTTAGAAAGCGATTAAGAGTGTTTCTTACGAAAAAAGTAAAATCTCTGTAGTAATAAACTGAAATGCCCAAGAGAATTCAACTGAAAAACGCTTATGAATCATATACAACTGATTCGCAAGAATGATCGGGGATTTTCAAATACATTGAGAATATCATATTACTCACGCCAACAAATCAGCATGGGAATTTGGGAGATCAGAAACTACAAGTAATCTGAATAGAAGTTATGGTCAATCTTAAATGCAGCGAAATGTGGTGAGAACAAGCACACGTGTATCAAAACGAAATGTATTTACAGATATTCACTATTAAAATGCAATCAAGAAGGTACGAAAATACAGCTCTTCCCTTTGAGATCTAGAGCAAACCCACACAAACCAATAAATTACAGCGATCACCTTAACGAACCCTCAGCGCCGCCCACTAATGCAGCCTCGGCGCCGAGGAAGCTGCAGATTGCCTTTACATATATGTATGTATATGTGTGCGTGTGGCTGTGTGTTTCTACACATATATGTTCATATGATGTGTGTGTGTGTAAAGTACTCAACGATGAAAGATGAACGACTTGTCTTCGAGTAAATAAACGCCAGACGCGTGACAGACAGTCAGTCAGACATGCAGGCAAACAAAACGGCCAGTTAGATGGATAGTGGGTTGCTGTTTTTGCAAAACGCACGCAAGCAACAATAAAACCGATCGTGCCCCTATGTGCATATGTAAATGAGAATAAACAGAGCGCATGTTTGCTTATTTGTTGTGTAGCATTGGAGCCACTTGAACCGGGAAGAAATAAAAGCAGATAATAACAGCATTTTTCAGAGCATCAACGCCAGGCAGCTGTGAATCAAGCGAACGTGCTGTGCGTTGCCCGCCAGGAACGTGGAGGAAGAGTAGAAGGTGGATGAGGAAGAGAGCGGGGGGAGCTGAATAATACCCAACTGGAAGGACAACAATGACGTGCGAACTTTGTTATTGGAACAGCTTTAACGTCTTTGTTCAAAGTATGCGTATGTTTGTTGTAGTTGTAGTAATTTTATTATTTCTTCTTTGTCGTGCTGTGTATAGAGTTTTATTAATCGCTTTTTGTACAATTTTTATACAATTAATAATTTTAATTTACGACAGCGAACACGTCGCTTGAAAGCTTACGAGAGTCTTTGTTATCAGATTGCGCGTTATTTTATACATTTTCCCAATCAGAGCCCGCTTATAATATGTATCGTGTATCTATGTGTGTATGTGTATAGGATGCGATCATTTAAATATTTATTGAAAATTGGTGCCGGCTCATTAAAAAACAAGTATATTATCCGCTTCGTTAGTGTATAAAATTACATTTAAAATATAATACTAAGATATCAGAGGCGCGGTTTCAGCGATTAGTGTTCGCCACATCAATGATTCTTGGGTTCAAAATCAGAAACAAGATGCATCAAAACTCCGGAAGTATTTCTGACATAAAAGTTTTAAGACCCCTACACTGGCGAATAATTGCGGAAGAAATCCATCAGAAAGAAAAAAGGCTGTGCCAAAAAATACACTACATGTCTCGAAATAAAGTTCTAAACTTCATAGATATGCCGCAATTATTCGTCAATAGTCAATATTCCGCATAAAAATCAAATAATTGTTCAAAAAGCAAGAAGAACAAAATATGAATTAAAAATAAAAATGTTGGCATTTTATTACATAGTGATTCAACTTGAAATTCACCACATGTATGCCATGCTTCTCGCCCTGCAAACGTCTCACAATTTCGCATGAATCCATTCGCATGGGCCATGCCGCAGCAGCTAGCGCGTGGCCAACAACAACAAGTAAATTGGCATTTTGGAGACGCACAAAACGAAGCGACCCAACTAGCGCGATGCCAAAGCGTTTATTTTTTTGAGTTCAAAGCAGATATGGTACATGTATATGTAGCCTTTTTAGAAGGCAGCGATGAGAAACTCGGGTGTCTGTGTTTATTTTAAACGCACCCGCACAACCGGAACGCTTAAGAGGCACGCCGGGCCATTAGCCTCCTTTCTGCCACGCGAACAATAGGGTCTTAGAAAATACGAGGAAATACCGTCAAAGGAGAAGGTCATTCGGGCAAAATACGCAAAGAGAAGGCGGGGTGACATTGGGATGAACCGTCAGAGCAGTCCGGCAACCCACATACTTGGGTGTGCACTAATAGGTATGTGTGATATATGTGTGTGTGTTGGTGGAACCCAAACAAGCAATTTGAATTAGTAGAGCTGCCAATGTATGTAGCAACTTGCTACAGCATACCACAAACAAGAACAAAAAGATGTCCCAACAATGAAGAGCAAAGCAATTGAACAGGCGACAATGAATGCATTGGTGAGGGATATGATAAAGAAAGACAAAGCAGAAAAAAAAACATTAAAATAAATGGGAAAAAGTTAAAGACACATAACAAGCAACAAGAGCAAATCAGTGAAGCAAGAATTTTTATTAGATGCCAGACATTTGTCTGGCCGAATTGTGAAAAACACTCGCTTCACACCGTTGCATACATACACACATACTACAACTACGGAATAGATCTGCTCATGAGAAACTGAGTACATTTACAATATTTTTATACTCTCGCAACCTGTTGCTACAGAGTATAATAGTTTTGTTCACCTAATGGTTGTTTGTATCACCTAAAATTAATCGAGTTAGATATAGGGTTATATATATATAAATGATCAGGATGAAGAGACGAGTTGAAATCCGGGTGACTGTCTGTCCGTCCGTCCGTCTGTCCGTCCGTCTGTCCGTCTGTCCGTCCGTCCGTGCAAGCTCTAACTTGAGTAAAAATTGAGATATCTTTATGAAACTTGGTAGACATGTTTCATGGTACCGTGAGACGGTTGGTATTGCAGATGGGCGTAATCGGACCACTGCCACGCCCACAAAACGCCATTAATCAAAAACAAAAAACTTGCCATAACTAAGCTCCGCAATAAGATACAAGACTGTTATTTGGTACACAGGATCACATTAAGGAGGGGCATCTGCAGTTAAAATTTTTTTTAAAGTGGGCGTGGTCCCGCCTCTAATAGGTTTAATGTGCATATCTCCTAAACCGCTAATGCTATATTAACAAAATTCACTGGAAGCAAATGTTTTTAGCACTTCTATTGACGGTGTGAAAATAGTTGAAATCGGGTGGCAACTCCGCCCACTCCCCATATAACGGTACTGTTAAAAACTACTAAAAGCGCGATAAATCAAGCACTAAACACGCCAGAGACATTAAATTTTATCTCTGAGATGGTATAAGATGACTTTATAGGAACCGCGTTCAAAATTAGACAGTGGGCGTGGCACAGCCCACTTTTAGGTGAAAACCCATATCTTGAGATCTGCTTAACCGATTTCAACCAAATTCGGTGCGTAACGTTCTTTTCGTGTTTCTATGTCATAGTGCGAAAATGGGCGAAATCGGATTACAACCACGCCTATTTTCCATATGACACCATTTTAAATACCAGTTGATTCTTTCACTTTCCACTATGCAAATCAAGCAACAATGATTATATCGGCGTAAAACTTTGCGTGAATAATACGTTTAAAGTATGCCACCTTGTGACCAAAAATTTTCTAAATCGAACCAAAACTGTTCAAGCCCCTAGGTACTGAATATGTGGACCCCAGTGCCTATAGTTGACCTTCTACCGAAAATATCAGTCAATCCACAAAGAAATCTCAAACGAGTATACCATTTGACTTTGCGAGAGTATAAAATGTTCGGTTACATCCGAACTTAGCCCTTCCTTACTTGTTTTATATATTTTTATGTGTATATGTATGTATCTCTACAAATATGTTTTTCTGCTCGAGCACTTCAAGTGCATTCCGCTTGACTTTGCCTGCGTCTTGCGGCATGTGGCATGCGGCATATGCATGGAATGTGTGGCGCTTGCAAAGTGCGCTTTTAGCTTTTGTTTGAAGTTGTTTCAGCGCGCCACATTTACGATTTGAGTGATGTGCTTTACATTTATATATTTAGCTGTTTTTCTTGCTTGTCACTCAGGGATTTCTTAACGCGCTCGAGCAGACAGCCATGAAGTGGTGGTCAGCACAAATAATATGAGTAACGGTTAACCCATTATTGGCTAAATAATGTGGGGTGTACGCCGATATTATGATTGAAAAGTTTCGTTTAAAAGAGATAAATTTGCAGAAGACTACTTAAAGTTGGCCATAATTTTTTGAGTAAAGCTAGTTTTGCCGAAAACGCTTCAATTTTAGAGAGTTTGATAACCTCGGGACTGTTTTCAATATCATCGGAACATGAATCAACAAGTCTTTAGACACCGAAATAGGTTCATGCCATAACTTAATAGTTCCACTCCAAGGGGGCGTGTGTTTTGTTCGTTCGAATGACTGAGTGATTTTATTGGGAAATCAAAAATCATACTCCGGACTTTGAGATGTGAATCCACAGGCGTTCGTTGCTAAGATCCTATTTTTGTTTTCAATTTGGATTTTTGTTTAGGTGGCACTCGAACCCGTGACTATCCCGATTGAGGTAATGCGCTCAACTCCCACGACAACGGCGAACGCTATGTTTTTTTATTTGATCGATTTGTATTCAAACTGCAACGAAAAACTAGATAGCCCCTGCTTGCGTTTTATTCGCTATTGGTGCGAGTGAATACAATTTCTAACAATCAATATTCACAGGAAATTTCTGTAGCAAAATTCCTCATTTAGCTCGGGTACAAGAATTACTCGCTGACATACACGAACACCGATAACGGGCCAACATAAATAACTCAATGGGTTTCTAGGCCTTTGGAATGTTGTAAACACAATTTTTCCATTTCCCATTAGAGGCGCGCAGCTGTCCGTTTCGCTGGCCAAGTAAGAGGCGGCAGTCAGAATGTCAGACAGCTGGATAGAATTGACCATGACAGTCTATTATATCACTTCGCACATACAACAGCATGTCCATAAATATAATCTGGTAACATTTGTTGTTGTGCGTAAGCAATTTATGTCTAGAATTATCGCGTTAAATCGTAAATTATAAAGAATTTCATAAGAAAGAAAAAAATGTTCAACAGTTCTGACATTAGCTGCGCCTGCTTCACATTTTGCCTAGATTTGGCTTGAAAATTGTCTCGTTCGTTGTCATTTGTTTTAATTGATTATGACTTTGTAAAGCTGCAGCCACTGACATTGTAATTAAGTCATAATTTCCTAAACAAAGTGAGCGAGTATTCTAAGTAAGTGCGAGTACGCGGCTTGTCAACAAGTCTAAAATAGAAATAAGTTCTCAAAGCTATAGAAAAAAAAGAAAACAAAAGAAACGATCAGATTCAAAATTTAAATACTATATATGTATCCATAGCCAAATCTACATAGGTACAAGTAAATCTATGATTATGCCAAGTTTAGGTTATTTGCTATCAATTTACCCAGACACTGAAGTTCGCTCCTTCAGATGTTTTCGCTGTTGTTGCTGGTGGCTAATATGTAATCGTATATAGAATGAGGAAATATTACCATGACAAAGTCTTATTTTTATTACATTTTCCAGCTTCAATATGTTAATTTGCATTTGTCAACTGAAATGGGCAACTGCACCGACAACGCGCGCTAGCACAGACTAGTACAAGTGCCTCCAGCCATAAATGGGTATTGTTCGCAAAAGGATATTGACATCTTGTGTTGTCAATCAGTTGCAGCGGAAAAAAACTAATTTTTTTATTAAATGATGAAGACAGCACGGGCACACGAACTCGTTTTGCCTTTTGCAGTTCCTCATATTTTTCCGCATGAAATTCTTTATTAAAGCATTGTTTATTGCTAAAGTAGCTTTTTGTTCTCGTTGTGTTTTTAAACTTAAAATATTTGCTTGGCGAAACGAACAGTGACATGAGCAATTGCACAGATTAGTGCTTTATGACGAGAATTTAAAAGTCACGTTTAGCGAATACACGTACATATGCATGTGTGTATATATGTAACATACATATATATGCGTGTACAGTTAGATGAAAAGATATGCAAAAAAGCCAAATGCATTTGATTTACATATATCGTCTTATAAATTAATGACAAATAATTTGCTGGAGTCGTTATATCATAATGACTGTGAACAAAATATGCAAAGTGCTAGTGGCTTGTTGTCGTTGTTGTTGCTTGTAGAATTAATGACACCTTTTTGTTCTATTTTAATTATTATCTGACTTGAAATTCGTAATGTTTTTATTGCTAATGTGACGTGCCATTCATTGCTGTCAAGAGTGTTGCTACCGAGTTAAATCTAGAAACGGCTAATTATTGTCAACTTTTAATAAATAAATAGAAAACCAACTCTTTTCTTCTGTTATTCCATGGTTCAACATAACTGACAGTTCCGGCTTCAATATTTGCGCTAGGAATACATAATAAACTGCAATATATAATTCGGTGGCAAAATAGACAAATCTATAGTCTATAATGTAAGCTTATGAAGACTAGTGTGTTAGAATAAATTAATACAATTTGAGAGCGGTGGCCTTTGTACATTTACGCAGAAAGCTATTTTCGCGCCGTTATAAGCAGATGAAAAATGTACACAGCTCAGTTAAAAATATCGATACATAGTTCACTTCTTGAAGTTCTTCTGTTCGTTACAACTAGATATCAAGACAATTGTTTCGCTTTTTCACACATTTCCTCTTCAAAGCTGTTGGAACCTTTGTTGAAAGCAAGACACGTAAAAAGTAAAATTATCTTTTTTATTTTTAGAATTGTCTAAAAGCAACAATGCGTGGCAATCTTCCTATGCGTGTAATCTGGCTGAGGTGAGAAAATAGCAGAAATTGCGTGGAAAGCATACAAAACAGATCGCGCTACCTTCGGGTTTGCTGACTCACAGATCGTCGATTTATATGCAACATAAGCAAGGGATTGAAGGGGATAAGCGTGTGCCTAAAATCAGAGCAGCAAGTGAAAGTTTCCATGGGAGCGTGTATGTGGAAATGGACGTCCAGTTACCAAGGCTAAATGAGATGGTTGCTAAGTGCGGGTGCTAGGACAATTTAAACAAAATTTTGAATTACGATACTTGTATAATATGTAATAGATTTGCGTATATAATAGGCCGATTTGTTGGACGTTATTGGCGAGACTCCCTTTAGGAGCAATGGAAAACTAACGGATCCCTTGCCAATTCCTTATATGAAACTGATTTCTTAATAGTAGGCGAACAAAAATCCGCTGGGCTGATATTTTCACATAATTAATAAGTTTGAAGACCTTGCAAAAGTGGAAAAAAATCGCTAGAAATAAATTCGCAGCCGCTTTCGTTGGCGTACCGGCCTGTGCCACACTACCGCCTAATTGACAAATTTTAGTTCAAATGAGTTTTTTGTTTCTTGAATTTCTGCATGCAAAGCCTGGTCACGGAGTCGAAAAGTCATTGACTCCAAGCAAACCATTGCGCATATGCAAATTTCATTCACCTCGCCTTATTTGTTTTGGCGATTGACGTTGCCCCTTTGCGTGTCAATGATTTATGCGTTTGTCAAACTTTTGTGGCTCATTGGCCTGTTCATGCAATTTTTGGGTAAATTATTATTTTTATTGCTTTTCGTACAATATTTAAAAACAGTATTGAGAATACATTTCCTTCCGCATGAATTAAATTTTTATATACATATATATGTCTCCTTATTACGACAGGCAAAGCAACAAGAAAAACGAAATTAGCTAAATTGAATTTCGTGTGAGCATATTCGCAATTTTAGACATAAATACGTTACATACGATATAAAGACTAATACTTCTATTAATTTGCAAATATGAAAGGCCAGAAATATACATATTTATACTATATTTACGAAAGTGTAGAAGCCGCCGAGCATATAGATATGTCTTGCTACAGTGTTTTGGCTTTGCGCTATTCTGCTTTTAGTTGTGTTTGCTCTATTGAAGGTTATTAATACATATGTATTGTATATGTGTATATGTGTATTTCAATCACTCAAGTCATGCCGTTTATGCGCCCATTATCCCTAATTAATTGCGTACTCGTTGTTAGCCATGTAATTTAGTTTGCCATAACTCGTGGCTAGCTGACTCGTAAAGGCAAGCTAAAGCGAAGTCAAAGTCAATGTGCCTCACCAAATAAGACACATTCATACCACAAGCCGTCCGTTAACCATTGTCTCATACCCATTACATTTCTTTTTAAATATTCTTTACTATACCTATTTCTTAGTCAGAAAATATTCTTCAGTAATATAATAGTCATTCAAAGCGTGGCGACTTTCCCACCTACAACACCGCACCTCATCACAGCTCGGCTTACTCCAGTACTCAAGTGGTTGGGCTTTTTGTTTCTTGCCAGTATTGGCGCGGCTGTCAATTAGTTTTGTGCTTACTGCCCCCTTCACCCTTTCTTTTGTAATTTTTTCATTCATCGCCTGTCACTTTTGTCTTCTTTATATTGTGAATTATTGCTTTTAAATCGTTTCAAGTTTACTCTTATCTCATTTGTCTTATGGTTATGCGAGTTTTTGTTTTCGAATTTTTAATTTTTAGTTTAATTTTTTATTTTTGCCGTCATAAATTACATCGTAATGCTTTACATATACATTGTTAAATTAAGCGAGTATTATAAAGTTATATTGTATTTTCAATTGATTTTTAACGCCGTTAAATCGCTAACCCCCACACCTAGGAATACTTTGAGTTTTCGAAATAAATACACACCCTACCCTATATTTCATAGATAGAAAGAGAGATAGAATAATTGTAATCATCAAACATAATTCAGTCTGTCGCATGAAATCGCATTATTCACGCGACGTCATACCTTCACCTTTCCGTGTTACTAATGTTTCGCGCTTACGTCGAGATATTGCTTTGAGTATATCTAATACACAGAGGAACTGCCTGAGAAAATACAACTTCTACTCTTCGAAGTCAAAAAATATTTTTTTAAATTTCTGATACAAAGCTATTTCGAAAGATTTTTATCGTTGTTATTGCATATGAAATTTTTAGTTCATAACATTAGAAGTCGCGGTGGGAGAAGTTTTATTTGAGAACAAATTTTGAAAATAATTTTAACATAACCTTCAATATGTGAATTCGATAAATGCCCGTATATTATATTATTTAATGCAATTTTACTGTTTACTTACATATTTATTTAAAAAATGCTACTCAGTTATACGGAAATCAGTTGTACAAACCTGCAAAAAAAATTTACATATATTCAGTTACAATGTATACAAGATGTAATAAGAATTGATGACATATAGTAATAATTCGTCCATTAAAAACGCATATTGGAAGAAGCTTCTTTTTTAGAGGTGTTAAAATGAAAAAAAAAGTTAACAAAAGTGAATACAAAAGAGATGCAACTATTTTCCTTTTCAATTCTGTTCGGTAGTAATTTACATAATAATAATTTCTTCTTTACACTGAATTTACTTTTTCCCCATCTTTTTGCGGCTAATACTTATATAATACTATTATATGCTTTCGAGCATTCACCGATTGACCTGATTCAAAACCGGTATCTCTATATTTATTTATGAGGCCTTAATGTCCGAATTTATGGGCTGTCATTAAATGCATTTTAATTGATTAACAACTTGATTTAAATCCGTTTATGAAATATAAAATTTTGCCTTGCTTACGCTTATCTGCTGTGACAGATTTATGTCATTAAAATATTTTATTACTTAACATCCAGTTCACACATACAAACATACATATTTCATATTACATACAGTAATGCAAATACATATTTCATATATTTATGCTCCATTTAACCAAGACCGATTTATATCGCTTCAACTGAGTTCCTCAGCAATTGTTTTAACCGATTTCAGTGGGCATTTTTTAGTGTTATTAATTTGCTAATTGAGTCACGTTTCCCTTCATAATTATTATTAAAACTTCAGTAAGTAAATGAGATTAGATTTGCTCTGTAGACGCTTTGTTGTTATAAGAATATATGCATGAGAATCTAAAGTAGCTTCCACCAGGAATTAGCCTTTCGCGCTCAAGTAGGCTTATAAAGTTTTTGCTTATGTTAATTTGCTTTCTTTAAAATATTTTCTTGTAGAGTTCAGGAAAAAATATATATCATAAATGTTTTTCTCATTCTTGAAGAACTGAAATGATTCACAGCTGCATTGCACTTTACATCCTACACTCATACACACAAAGTTATAATGTAGAAAGTGGATCAGGTGCTGATACATTGCAGGTGTTTACACGAGTCTTCGCTTTCATTGGCTGACTTTTGCCTTTTGGCAACAAATCACATTCCACCTATAAAGTGCGACCAAAGACATTCTTGCTTTGACTTTGTACCAACGCGCGCATACACACACTTACAAGTCGAGAAGAATTACCCATTATATTTGTATACAAATGTTTATAAATTAAAGGTAAATGTTGGATACCCAAAATCTGGCAAAAGAAGCAACCTAATGGAGCCTTTTAAACTGACAACCGCTTGTGGAGCCAATTATGCAGTTTAGGGAGCAATGCCCGAAATTGAGATATGGTACTGAAACTAAATCTCGAAAGGTGGTAATTGAGAAGAAGAAGCATTCGATGAAGCTAAAATATATCAGAAGTCACCTCAAAAACTAAGACTCTCTCTTATTCCACAAATTGATTAATTCCTAACAGATTTGCTCAGATAATTACTGGTGGTATAAATTGAGACTTTCACCCTTTCGTCTGTAAAATATGGAAACATTCTCGTTTTCAAATAAAAAAAAAAAAACAAATAATGTATATTAAATTCTTAATGTTGCGTTCAACAGTGCATGTTAAAAGTATATTTATTTGTGGGCACAAGCGTATCGTCATCAATAAAATTTATTGCCACCAAATGTTGCACAATAATAAAAAACGTGAGTGAAACGAGTTTTGACGTTCAATTAGCAACGCTTGTTATTGTTTTAGCAACAAAAAAAGAGCTCGAAATGAATCGAAACTAAATAGGGTGGGTATGGCGGTTCTCGGTGAGCGTCGAATTAAATCGACTGGGTGGGAGTGTCAGCTGTAAGTCTCAACTACCAACATCCAAACACTGTTACACGCCTTTGCACATACATATATATGATATGTGATACTGCCAAAAATGTATGCGATGTGTCAACGACGAAGCCAATAGCGGCGGGCGGCGCGTGCGCAACGGTCAATGCACCCGAAGCATTAAAGGCAAAGAAATTTAAATAGAAATGAATAAAATCGTAAGAGAAACGCTGATTCGTACACATAAAAATGTAGTGGCAACATTTGTGAATTTTATAAGATTTACCAGCGTTGTTGTCGTTGTGGCTGTCGACGCCAGCCGCAGTTTCGGCGGAAATTGAAAGTAATCGAGAGAGATTAGCCAGTTGTGACTGTCATTTTAAATTGGAGTTGGTGATAGTGGAAATTAAAAACCCGAAAGAGAACAACAACAATTTATAAGAGCTTAGCACTGTTAATTTATGTGGCAGTTAAAATCGCTTTATAGGCCGCCCCGGGTGGTGTAGGCTCCAAACTATGCTTACATACATACATACAAGTACATATGTACATATGCACAGTTGTATGGCAGCTCAAATTACACATAAAACAGGTCATAAATTTTTGAATTAAATGAAATTTAATTTTAATTTTCACAGTCGTTTACATGTGGGGCAAGATACTTAAAACTATGTACCCACTTTTATATATTTGCATTCATAAATAGGTACATAGTTTACTAGTAGTTTCACGCACGGCTTGGAATATGGAATTCGCTGGCTGCTGACGGAGTAGATATATTTAATAGATGTAAAATTTTTTAAATATACCGCATAGAGTTAAAATCTAATGTTATATTTATATTTATATTGTGTAATGTGGTCAGGTAATTTACTTTTATTTAATATTTGTGTAACATTTTATATTCTTTTTCCAACGAATTAACTCTAAATATCATATTTCTGCCGAGGGGCGTTTTACATACCGGCACAACTATCATGGTAGGAAGATCACCACGTAATAGCTAAGAAAGCGAGGAGTGTGCTAGTTGTGTGCCTGGGCAATCGATTATTTTATGAAATCGCTTTATAAAGGCGAACTGATGTACATCTAGCCGGAAACCAAGGACACGTATTTGCTATAAGCAGTTCCTTTCACAACCAAACTTTTAGATTGTACTGCTATTTGATGCCTTATATATATACTTTTTACCTAATAAGTAACATTTAAAGATTTTATCAAAATGTTTTCAAATTCAAATTTCATTGGCAACGTGTTATATAAAATATTTTATAGTTAGCATACAACTGCAATGGCGTAATCCAAATGGGCTTTGTGCAGAATTAAGTACGATTGAGCAAAACAAGAATAATTAAACAAATTTGAAAAATGCATTTGCCTTTACACTAGCGCTTACAAGCCAGAGTACATATATAGCTTTTACAACCACATACACAAAATCACACATATTTCAACACTCTTCTATAAACATTAGCGCGACTATAACTTTTTCCCACATTTCATACATTTGTGTGCATATATTTAATTATCTTGCTGATTGATGTGGCGCCGCAACGCAATGGCCCCCGCATCTTGTCACAATCACGTCTCTCCTTCGCCACCGTCTTTATATCCATAACTTCGCTTGCAACAGACGGCATTCGTATATGGAATTGGCGCCGAGGTCTCGCCTTATGGCAAACGACACTGCATTCGTAATATTCGCAAGAATGAGTAGCCGAGCACAACAATTAATAAATTTAATATATAATCAACACCGAAAACGAGAAAAGGCGGGATGAGCGCTGGCGCGTTGATGCTGTAGCAATTATCAAAAATTCTTAAAACCATCTCTTCCGTTGTCGCTTTTTTCTGCCTTTCCCCGCTGCGGCGCACAGCATGCGATTAACCATTTTAAATACCATCCATCAACGTGTTTAAATAAGCATTTCGTAATCGCTGGTGATTTTGGCAGAAGGCCACTTATGGCGTTGTCATGCTGTTTGAAGTTGGCGCCGTTGCGGCTGAGTGAATTCGTGGTATGTGAAATGCGATATGTGCACTTAAGAGGTTGTTTTTGGCGAAATGTCAAAGAAATTTACTGAAATGAATTACAAATAAAATTAATTAACTTTGTAAATAAATATATTTGCCATGACCGATTGGCGGTTACAGAAGAATTAAGTACGATTTTGACTAATGATGGATTCATATGGGAAAGAGGAAGATATTCACAAACGAGGTTATCTGCTTCACTCTAAATACCAAGTTTTAAGGAGTATCTTTCTTATAGTCTAACTTCGAATGTACAATAGATCAGTTGGATTCAATCAAACGGCTTCTATGGTATTCAAAAGAAGTATTCTGCCAAAAATGTATCGAATCATGGACAATGAGTTTAAAGTTGAGTTGTTACATGTAAATAGCACGAACTTAAGAGTTTAGTTTCGCCACCGTTGCTCTGAAGGCGATATGCTTTTGACGAAAGGCTATCAAATGCACATAATTTTCATATCTTTTACTCTATTGTAAAAGTATGAACTAAGGCACCGAATTATTAAAAAGAGACGAACTACGACTATTTTCAGGTAAGGTCAGCTGCAAAACTGCTTCCTTCACTAAAATGAATCGTAGAATCTCTACAATTTATAGAGGCTCTAAAAGAGCGAAAATACGAGTTGAAAGTTTGCAATTTATTATTTAACTTCAAACGGAAACTAAACAAATATAATTATATATTCACATGTATAAATATTGTTGGCAAATAGTATCCATTCTATTTTCACATCTGTTCTATGTATTTACATTCTCACTGTAACCAATGAGACAGAAAATAAAAAGGCACTGTCTCGTTAACCAAAGAAAATCGAAAAGATAATTGTTGTAAAAATAAGGAAAACTAAAAATAAACTTAAAGCAAACCAAAGAAGCTGTAATGACAGTGAACGCGTATGAAACCATCCACAGTGATGCAAAATAAATAAAATATGGAGAAAATTCCCTGCGTCTTCATAAATCTTGCTCGCATACATATATTATTTTATTAAATTACTTAATAAACTAGAAATTGTGGAATCTAATTCTCCGTCGAATATCCTTTGAATTTTTTTCCTCAAATCATCAATTATTTAGCAGAAATATGTTTGTGCGCGAGAATGTGTCGCAGGCTACCCAAGCGACTACTAATTGTTCAGTACAGATCAAAAGGCCATGGGTGCATATACCACATATACATATAAAAGCAAACAAATCATGCTAAACTCATATGAACGCATACAAATATTTTCCCGGATGTATACATACATAGTATACTTATTTGTTAGTATAAGTTTCTCAGATCGTCACTAGTATAGTATATGCGTCAGCACTTGATTAGAGGAAAAGAGGAAAAGAATAGCGTAAAAATTGTTGTACTCGCGTAAGGCATTGCGGGCAGTCTGCTCAGCTGAGATAGAAAATTTGGCAATCATCGAGAGTGTGCACAGTTTCAGGTATATACTATAAATATCTTGTATGAACATACATAAATGCATCACTCTAAGAGCACTTTTAGGTGACCAGTTACTAAAATTTCTTCTTTTTTTAAATATAATCATGAGTATGTTCATGTTTCTCCCACTGTGTGCACGTTGGTATGCCACTAATAGCTTAATACGTACATGTACATAAATAACTGAGTAATAAATATTTTGGGATTTTTATAAATATCTATGTGTAGTAAAAATCGTCTGTCTATTTCCATTTGCCAAGCTCTGATTTTTTACACACGTTATTTATATATTTATCCCGACTATAATTTAGTGGTCCCATTGAGACAAAACAAAGCTGTGAGGAGATGTCAGCGAGGTTTTTGGTATTAACGTGTAGAAATACAAGCAAATGTGTATACATACTTACATATATGCAGATTTCTTTCAGGATTTCTTAATGTTGTTGGATGTGATTGACGTATTTAGTGATGGAATGTCTTAAAGACTACTTTAAGAATAAGGATCACCGGGATTTCGATTATCCTACTTAATTACGAGATTTCACTAAATTCTACCATTAACACAAAATTGATTTACATATTTTTTAACATATAATAATTACTTCCTAACTGAACCCTATATCAATATCATATCTACAGAATTTAAATCACGAAAACTAAAAATGTTTGCATTAAATTCAACATTTATTCTAAATTGCTTTAGTTTAAAGGTATAACAATTATTGACACTAAAATCTAGTTGAGTGGGTCTGAATTTGTTGGGACTGTCCTTAAGAGATATCAAATATTTCAGAAGTGGCTGTTATAAGCGCCATGATAATATGCCTGAGGATGGTGGGCATGGCCGATTTTCTTGACAACAGCGTTGAAGCCATTGTGATCGTCGGCGGTGTACTCTACAACGCGTGTGGTGCCATCAGCTTCCGCCAGGGTATATCCTCCTAGATGTCAGAATAACATAGAATAATTAGGCTAAAATATTTCTTAAAATCAACTTACCCTTGACATGATCACCATCACGGTGCTCCAATTGGCTCTTATGATCACCGGTATGTGCGTCCTTTACGCCATATTCGAAAGTGTATTTGGGATAGTGGTGGGGCTCATGGTGCTCATAGTGGTGATCCTGGAAGTCGTGGTGAGCATAACCATGTCCAGCATAATGCAGAGAGTTGTCGTGACTGCCATAACCGTGGTGACCGTCAGTGTGTTGCACAACCGAGGCGTAACTGGAGGCGTGTCCGTGTGGAATGTATCCTGCACAAGCGACACCAAAAAGTGCGGCAGCGGTGATGGCGAAACACGAAAATATTTGCATTTTGTTAGATTTATGGTATTTATAACTCAATAGCTAGACTTTGGGTGTTCACTAACTCTATCTGAATGCAGTGCTTGACTGATGTCGAACTGCTGTTTCGAGTTGCTATTTATATGCAAACATTTTCGTAAACTTTAAATATCACTAAATTGATTATGAAGGCTTCAATCACAAATCGTTTCACTAAATATACCGTTACGGTGTCTTAATGAGATACACAAAGTTAAGTTTCATTGTAAGATAAAGCCAAAAATTATTAAATGTATTAGAATGACCTTTTCACAGCCCTTACTTCATTAATTGCTTCAACTTTCAAATACTTAATTTGAATGCAAAAGTTCATACTTAGTATTTTGATTGTTTTAACGAAAATATTGATATGTTGAACATATTTATTCCGTCTACTTTGGTATATTTTCGTCGGGTGCTTTCATAGCCAAACGTGAAACAGTAATAGAACCAACAAAGCACTCGCAAGTGTTGGTCGCTTAATTGAAGTGTGAATGGAATCAGGTACAATATGAAGTTACCTAAATATAGCACAAAGGTGTTGAACTAATAATAGTACCGTGTTGTTAGTGGTTACTGTCATAAACTGGGTTGGTCGGTGAGTGGGTCTCTTAGTCACTATTAACCGACTTGTGCGCTTGGGTGGCTCTGGAATTTGCAAAGCGACCTTGCCAGGAGTAAATGATTGCCTTCAATTCACCAGTCGAGTGGTGCTATTGTTTAATGGATTTTCGTTTTTTTTTTCATTTTTGCAATTAAAAATTTGAAACACACGCATTCAGAACGCGATTGAAAATATAATTAAGGAAAAGAATTTGGTATAAATAGTTACTGCACTCAGCTGATTGGTATCAGTTAGCCACTGGCTTCAAACAGAGTTACTAATTAGTATAATTTTTCGCCTTTGTAAATCCAATTTAAAACTTAAACTAAATATGCAAATCCTCTCGTGCATCACTTTTACTGCTGCCGCACTCTTTGGTGTCGCTTGTGCAGGATACATTCCACACGGACACGCCTCCAGTTACGCCTCGGTTGTGCAACACACTGACGGTCACCACGGTTATGGCAGTCACGACAACTCTCTGCATTATGCTGGACATGGTTATGCTCACCACGACTTCCAGGATCACCACTACGAGCACCATGAGCCCCACCACTATCCCAAATACACTTTCGAATATGGCGTAAAGGACGCACATACCGGTGATCATAAGAGCCAATGGGAGCACCGTGATGGTGATCATGTCAAGGGTAAGTTGATTTTAAGAAATATTTTAGCCTAATTATTCTATGTTATTCTGACATCTAGGAGGATATACCCTGGCGGAAGCTGATGGCACCACACGCGTTGTAGAGTACACCGCCGACGATCACAATGGCTTCAACGCTGTTGTCAAGAAAATCGGCCATGCCCACCATCCTCAGGCATATTATCATGGCGCTTATGGTTATGATCATGGTCACGCTGGTAGCTACGTGGAAGTTAAGCACCATCAATGAGCGAACTCTCTAACGAATTAAAACGAACTTAATGCAAATGAAACTATGTTGTTGTAATCAAAAAATTATGTAATTTTTTTGTAATATATATATATACATATATATAAATTTATGAATAAATTTTAATGTGGAATAAAACAGTTATAATTGTTTAGCGCCACTCTAAGTTAGAGAAGAAAGTACTATGCTATGAGTTAATAAGAATGAAGAAGGATTGCCTGCGAAAAGTTGCAAATGATTTCGTTGAGTTGATCATTCTAAAATTGCTAAGTTTCTTACATCTAACGGCTAAATAGAAGCTACGCATATTTTTGTCGTATTTATGTATAGTTTTTTGCATAGTCAGACTCACGGGGAAGTAATAAATTTTGTGCAAAATTTTCACTTCTATATTGAGGGTTTTTTATTTTGTTTTATTTTTTATTTTTATACTGTTTTTCGTTTTTGTCTGTTCTTTTTAAAAGAGGAATTCGCCTTCTTTGCTTATTTCCAATTTTATATTGCCGATTTGTTATTTTAATTTCATTCTTTGACATCTCGGCGCAATAAATTTGTGCCAGTAATCTAGTATAGGAATGACTAAAGCGAACGGCAGCTCAATGTCGCACAGAACAGGATGGAGACTCAGCTTTATTTCCGTAAGATTATTGAATAACATAATATTATGTATAAAAGTATTACAATTTTCATATTTAGTTTTCAATTATTTACCAATATAAATTCTATGTGTATCCGCTAAATATTTATGCAGATTATTTTTGGCACAGGGGGTGCCTTCCAGCAACTAAACTACACATACTTTGAACGCAAATTATTTAAATACACATGCAAACAACACATGAAAAAAATTTTAGCAATTCACTAAATAAAAATCAAAAATAAAAATTAATTTATAATAAAATTTTGAAATGCTGATGCTAAATTTCATAGCGCATCGGTTGTGCGTGTTCATTTAATTAAACAATGCGCGAAAACTTACCGTTCAATTTTATTCACATTTGCTGTTATTTAAATTTTTGTACACAGTTAATTCTATTTCGACTTGATATTTTAGAATGGTATACTGCCAGAAATAGCTTCAAAAATTCACCGCATTAAATGAAAATTTGATCACCTTTGTG